GCCTGGCTATTTTTTGGTTGCAGGTGTCGTTGTTTTTGGCAAGCCCAGGCTGGATTCAAACCTGCCACCTTAGTGTATGTGGCTGGTACCTTAGCTACTTGAACCACAGGCGCCGAGCCAACAAAATAAATCTTATGACCAACAAATACCCTCTCCCCAAGCACAGAAATTAATATCACAAGTCAGAGCATAGTTATTGCTGTGGGGAAAGAGGAGGTTTCTATTGGGAAGACTCTGGGCCATTTTTATAGGGCAAACAATGTCCTTCATCTTGGCCTGGGTGGGTCCTATGGGTGCTGGCTTCAGTTTTTAGGTTACACATTCATGTTTTCCATGTTTTTTTTCCTTAATACTTTATATGCACATGAGCTCACCCTGGTATTCCCAAATTAATAATTCATGACAAATTTCCAGGACGGTGCCTGACATGTGGAAAGGAAATAACTCTGCTCTTTGGAGAGCTGAAGGTAACTCTACTTAGAAGATGGGGGCGTGAGCAGAGGCTAGGCCCTGGCCGGGGTGGTTCAAGGGAGTTGGGCCATTTATTCTGAGGTCAGTGGGCACCATGGAAGGTACTAAAGTAAGGGTCTATCACTCTGGGCCAGGCTAGAACATGCTGGGGGTGCTAGTGTCCTGTCCGGACAGCAGGAAGACAACAGGAGGGGTGGCTCTCTGTGCTTACCCCGTGAGAGCTGTGACTCAGCCTGGATTCCCAGTTTTGCTGGTTCTCTCTGTTCTACTGTGGCGACCTATTTCTTCTTCCTCTTCTTCTTCTTTTTTTTTTAGACAGAGCCTCAAGCCTCAAGCCTCAAGCTGTCACCCTGGGTAGAGTGCTGTGGCATCACAGCTCATAGCAACCTCCATCTCCTGGGCTTAAGCAATTGTCTTGCCTCAGCCTCCCAAGTAGCTGGGACTACAGGTGCCCACCACAATGCCTGGCTATTTTTTGGTTGTAGTTGTCACTGTTGTTTGGCAGGCCCAGGCTGGATTCAAACCCGCCAGCTCTGGTGTATGTGGCTGGCACCTTAGCTGCTTAAGCTACAGGCACTGAGCCAGTGGCAACATACTTCTGCGTTTCTCTGCCTGCCCCAAGAGTAGCAGTGCCCCTCCTCATGGCCATCCGGTTGAGGGTGGGGAGCAGCCCAGCTGGGTAGCACCCACTGGTCCCAGGGACTGAATGGGCCCATATCACATTCCCCAACTGCCATTCGTTATAAATCAACAGCAAAGAAAACCGCAGGTTCATGATGGCCTGGCCTGTGCCCTGCAAAAGCAGCCACCAAGCATGGCTGTGGGGGAGAAGGGGAAACTGTTGCTCTTATAGCTGTGAGACCCTAGGCATATCACTCACCCTCTATGAACTGTGCTAATGACCCCTCTGTGAGAAGACCAGAGGCTCTGGGGGGGCGGGGGCGTTACCCAGACCTTTCTAGAATTTTCTAGAGCCTCTCAAAAAGAGATCTGTACCCAAATACAGAAAAGATCTGCCAGACTGGCTTGGTGCCTCTGGCTCAAGCGGCTAAGGCGCCAGTCACATACACCTAAGGTGGCGGGTTCAAATCCCCAGCCCCGGCCCGCCAAACAACAATGACAGCTGCAACCAAAAAATGGCCGGGCGTTGTGGCGGGCACCTGTAGTCCCAGCTACTTGGGAGGCTGAGGCAGGAGACTC